CCCAATCTAAGTTGGTGATAGCAATGGTGGCACCAAGGGGCGGGCTGGAGAGTGCTTAAGCCCCTTCCCAATTTCCATCAGAAGCCCCTCTGCCACCCAAATAGAGGCACCCTCCAGATAAAATGGCAGGTTTATCATGCACGCGAACGTTTAAGACGGCCCGTCCCACGTCCGCCAGATGCTCCCCCCGCGCCCCTCCCACAGGCTTTCCCGAGACAGCCCGGCTGCCGGTTTAAGGCTTGAGCCTTCCGGCTTTGAACACAAGCAGAGGAAACAAGGCAGGTTTCTTAGGATCCAGCCAGGGCGGGGATCTAGAGCCCAGGCCGCGGAAGGCACTGCAGGACCCAGCCTGGCTGGGCGGTGGTGGCTCCAGAATCGCCAGAAGGCTAGCGGCAGCTGGAGCTGGTGGAGGCGCTGGCCTGGGGCTGGGCCAACTGCGTCTTAGGTCAGATCAAAGCCTCAGATTGGCTCAGCAATGACTGGGAAGGCCTGTGGGAATCTAGGGCACCGCTTGTCTTTCTCCCTTCCATCTGAGACAGACGGAGTCCCTAGTACAGTGGGGGCAGGGACGGGGGAGACGTTGAAGGCGTCCCACTCCTGCAGCTGAGAGAGCCCTTTCTCCAGCAGAGGCTGGTGGGGCTTCTCCCACAGCGATGAACCAGCTAGAGGACCCCCTTCCCCTGCCCACTTTGGCCCTCACAAGGCCAGCTGGAGCACTGGATGGGGGACCAAGATACCTGAGATGTGTGTTCTGGTTTCATCCCCACCGGTGGGCTGCTGTATGGCCTTGGAACAGTCATTGTCCCTCTCTGAACCTGCAGCTTCCATCCTTACCACACCAGGGACCTCCAAGGGCTCTTCCCACTCTGACGGGTGGTCTGACAATGATGCTTTTCCTTTCTGGGGTCACCTGAGCTGCCATGTAGATGATCTGGTAGAAGTTACCTCTCTGAACCTTCCTTTCACCACCAATTGTTATCTTCCAAGGATGGCTGTTATTTGAGGGTCACCCAGCATCCATTTCCCCTTCTTATGGTAGCAGGCCCCAAGTTTCCTCGGGGGAGTCTCCTTCCTCCAGCTCGGCCACGTGCAGTGGGAGGAGATGACTCCACCACTGACTGCAAGGTGAGGAGGGTGACCAGGTGGGCAAATGGCTGCACTCCACTCCCTGAGCCTCTCATGGAGCTGTCCGGGGGATGGTCATTTGACCCAATGCCAGCCAACAGCAGTCAGGTTTAGGACTTGTCCCAAACATGGAGAAGTCTGGAAGCATCAAACCTGGCTGGGCTGGAGGCTGGAGTTTTGGCAGCCATCTGCCTCCACTGGGAATGGAACCCTTGCGGAGAATGCAGGGCTGGGGGCCCAGAGACCAGGGCCCGCTGCTGTACCTTAATCTCTCCAGTCCAGCCAAGCCAACTGCCGGCTCTTAGGCTTTTCAGGTGCAAGAGCCAATACAATGCCTCTTTCATTTAAGTGAGTTCGAAGTGGGTCTTCTGTTGCTCACGACCAGAAGATTCTTGACTGTCTTGTTGGATTGACTTGATTCTATGACACCATCAATTGTAAGATGATTTTTTTAAAGAAAACTATTATATCTATTTAGTAACAGCTTTTTGGTGAAAAAAGAAGCATATCAGCTGTGCCCTTTAAAAAACTGACAAGAGGGGCTGGCCCCGTGGCTGAGTGGTTAAGTTCATGCGCTCCGCTGCAGGCAGCCCAGTGTTTCGTTGGTTCAAATCCTGGGCGCGGACATGGCACTGCTCATCAAACCACGCTGAGGCAACGTCCCACATGCCACAACTAGAAGGACCCACAACGAAGAATATACAACTATGTACCGGGGGGCTTTGGAGAGAAAAAATAAAATCTTTAAAAATAAAAATATTTAAAAAATTTAAAAACTGACAAGAGGGGCCGGCCCCATAGCCAAGTGGTTAAGTTCGCCCGCTCGGCTTCGGCAGCCTGGGGTTTTGCCAGTTTGGATCCTGGGTGCAGACATGGCACCGCTCATCAGGCCATGCTGAGGCGGCGTCCCACATAGCAGAGCCAGAGACACTCACAACTAGAATCAGAGACACAACTAGAATCTACAACTATGTACTGGGGGGCTTTGGGAGGAAGAATGAAAAAAAAAAAGACTGGCAACAGTTGTTAGCTTAGGTGCCAATCTTTAAAAAAACAAAAAAGTGACAAGGGTATGTTTTCATTTATAAAATTGCACATCACAGTCTCCTTTGGTGATTTGATCAAAGTTCTTCACATTTCAAGTCTAAACTTTCTTTGGATGAACTTGGCAATTTTTACGACTAATTGTGTTGCCTGGCAGGTGATAGCCTTCTGTATACTTGATAACCTTTTCTTTCCATGTGACATTCTTTTAGAAGTCATTTTAAGTGATAATTAGGGATCCAATCTGGTAAAATTCCATCAGGCTTCATAGCAGCCACCCCAACAACTGGACAGCAGACAGTGACCACACCTGACTCACCCTCTGCCTGCTGGCTGGCATGTTCCTTAGACGTCAGTTGTGGGGCACATCCTCATTCCAGAAACATGTGTGTGTGGGGCCAGTGTGTCAGAACTGGTTATGATCATAGTTACCATTTCCTGTGAGACAGGCATTGAGCTAAGCAGGACAGAAGTATGACCTTGGGCAAGAAACATAACTGCTCTGTTTCTCAATTGCCACATTGTCTATAAACAGGAATCATAGCTTCACAGAGTTAAGATTTAGTGAGAAAAGTCAATGTAAAACACTCAGAACGGTGTTGGCACATAAGGATTGCCCAATAAATATCAGCTATTATTGGGTTATTTTGTTTAATTCTCACAGCTACCCTTTGAGGTTAATGTGATGATGCTACTTTATGGTTTAGGACACTGAGGTCAGGGACAAGAAGTGGCATGTCCAAGGTCACTCATCTGGGGAGGAGGTGGTGGATTCGGGACTCAAAGCCAGGCCTGTCCAGTATCCAGGCTTTTGTTCTTGACCAGAATGCCGTCTGGACTTCCAGCCAGGGGCTGGGCTCCTGGCCCCAGAGGTGGAGGGCAGAGTCGGCCAAGGGGTCTTGGGGGTCCGGTTCTCAGACATAGGGCAGGGAGATGTTCTGCTCATTCACCAGCCAGGCTCACTGCCCAGACCACTGTCTTAGCGATTCGTGGAATCCTGGGCCTTTGAAAACTCCGGAGAGGGAACACCAAGGCCCAGGGAGGGAAGGGACTTGACCCGGGCCACATAGCCAGGGAGTGACAGGGCTCGGGCTGGAACCCCCGTTCACTGACTCTTCACGTGGTCTTCACGTTCCCCTGCCCGCCCCGTGGACGTCCCTCCCAGCCCCGCATCCTCCAAGAAGCCCCCCTCAACCCCCAGCCCGCAGTCCTGTGCCGTGCTCTGGTGGGGTCTCAACACTCGCTGGCATTTCAGATGTGGACTTGGGAGTCAGGCCGACCTTGGGGCCGAACCCTCCTGCTGCTTATCGCTTATCAACAGTGTAATCCTGGGTTCCTTTTTCCCCCTCCCTGAGCCTCAGTTTCCTCAGCTGTAAAATGGGCTACAAAAGCCCATCTCACGCGGTCGATGTGAAGTTTCTGGCGAGTCAGGGCTGAGCACAGCCCGGCACAGAGTTGACCTCCAGGCAGCAGCCGTTTTCTCCCTCCTCCCTCCTCTGTGCAACGTAATTATTGTCATTAATAATCACGAAATAAAATGAGTAAGAACAATGGCCAGAAAAGAAATGCAGATAGTGAAAATTTTCTTTTATTGGACTTTGCATATATATAATTGTGGCAGTGAAAATAACGAACTAAACAAATGCAATATTAGAGTACAGAGAAGGAAAACAGTAAGGAGTTGGTACTTTTAAGTCACATTAATGTCTTTTTTTTTTTAAAGATTGGCACCTGAGCTAGCAACTGTTGCCAATCTTCTTCTTCTTTTTTTTTTTCTGCTTTTTCTCCCCAAATCCCCCCAGTACATAGTTATATATTTTAGTTATGGGTCCTTCTAGTTGTGGCATGTGGGACCGCTGCCTCAGCGTGGCCTGATGAGCAGTGCCATGTCCACGCCCAGGATCCGAACTAGCGAAACCCTGGGCCACCGAAGTGGAGCGAGCGAACTTAAGCACTCGGCCACAGGGCCAGCCCCAAATATCTTTTTTTGCAAAAAGGAAAAACACATTAAGAAACATTTGCAAAAGAGTGAATCCATGAGGTTCAGAGTGTGATTTGCACACGGAGTGAGAGCGTGAGGCCACTCAGGCTCTGTGTCTGCTTCTCACAGTCACTTCTGTCACTGCTGAGTTCATAGTTGCTGTTTCAATGCAGGGCTACGTGGAACAGTGGATGGAGCACCAGCTGTGTCTGCGGTTGAATTGAACCGTTCCAAATTGTTAACAAACTTGAAACAAATGCCTGTAGCTGAGTCTGGGTGTGTTGGGAGCCAAGTGTATAATGAAGTTGTCTAGATTAACTTCCACGTAGAACACAGTGTTTATTACAGGAAAAGTCGTTTTAAAATGTGCTAATGTCGTCTTATTAAAACTTAACAGTAACCACAGTGATTGTTTAGAACTTAGATGGACAAAAGATTTTGACCCGGAGGAGTAATTTAATCACCGACTTCAGTTAGGATTGCCAGTGCAGAGTGATAATAAAAAGCAGTCTGACTTTTAGTGGTTTTGTTATTGCTTTTAAACTCTACAGACAATGCCCCCCTCATTGCCTGTGCTGGGTGGACCTACCTCCTTCTGTCCACCCTCAGTACTCCACTGTGCTCATTGCATGGGAAGTGTGGTTTTTTGTTTGTTTGTTTTGAGGAAGATTAGCCCTGAACTAACCTCTGCCACCAATCCTCCTCTTTTTGCTGAGGAAGACTGGCCCCAAGCTAACATCCGTGCCCATCTTCCTCTACTTTATATGTGGGACATATAAAGCCACAGCATGGCGTGCCAAGTGGTGCCATGTCCGCACCCGGGATCTGAATCGACGAACCCCAGGCCACCGAAGCAGAACGTGCGCATTTAACCACTGTGCCACGGGGCCCACCCCAAGGTAAATGTCGTTTTGATGATCATAACAAGATGTCACCATTAGGCATCCCCAGAAAGAGGTGAATGAGCGGGTGAGGAAGGGAGCCCAGAACAGGGAGCCACTGCTTCTGAGTCCTAGGACTAACTCAGTTATCACATGCTGTGTCTTTAGGGAAGGCACACCCTCTCTGTGCTTCAGATGCAATGGGGCCTCCTTTGCCTGCCTTACTCAGCCTGGACAATGGAGATGTCAGGCCTAGGGGCAGAAGCAAGTGACAAATGCATGCCTGCTCCAAGCCCTGGGCACCTCTCTAGGAGTCAAACCCATGCTGGTCCTGGCTGGGCCTGGCCTGCCTCACCTGCTGCCCCTCCTGCTCCAGCTGCCTGGCTGTCCGGAGACCTTTAAGGCTTTGCAGGCCATCATGTGAAGGGGCTGACCTCCGACGCTCTGGACGCCCCCAGCTCCCAAGGACTCTGCCATTGGAGTTGCCCCATGGCTGCCACTGTGCCACCTCCTTTCCCAGTCTGTACAGAAATGCCTTCCCAGCGTCCAGCTGTTGCAGAGGCTCCACAGCCCTAGGCTGGGTCCCCAAATGATGACATCTTTCAGTCCTGTCACTCAGCCCTCTCCTTTCCTGCGGGCTGTGCTGCAGCTGAGGCTGGTGAAAAGGCAGCCTCATTCCCTGCCGACAACCTCTGCTCCCTTCCCACTTTTAATCTGACAGCTGTCGGATCCACTGCAGGGCTGTGGGGACACCAGATTGCCTGGAAGAGAACACACACGCTCAGATGTACACCCTGTTTCACACTGATTTAGCCACGGGTGCAGATGAATTGGAGGCGAGGCGGGCACAGGGCAAGAGCAGATGCCGCAGCTCCTGGCCTGCTTCTCCCTTTCTATGGGACCTCGCGGTTGTTGCCACCTTCTCTGAGCAGGCAGGATCCTTCCGGAGCAGAGAAAAAGGCTGAGTTTCTGCTATGACACAAAGTCTTTTATTCATTTATTTATTTATTTTAAATTGAGATATAATTGACGTTATATTATTTCTGGTGTACAACATGATTCTATATTTGTATATATTGAGAAACGATCACCACGATAAGTCTAGTTAACATCCATCGCCATACGTAGTTACAAAAATTTTTTTTATTGTGATGAGAACTTTTAGGATCTATTGTCACAGCAACTTTCAAATATGCAGCACAGTGTCATCAGCTGGAGTCACCGTGCTGCACATTCCATCCCCAGGACTTACTTTATAGTTGGAAGTTTGTATTCTTTAACCTTCATCACCTGTTTTGCTCCCTCTTCCCCCGCCTCTGGAGACCACCAGTCTGTTCTCTGTATCCATGAACTCAGTTTTTGTGTGTGTTTTTTGGGTTTTCTTTGACTCCACATACAAGTGAGATCACACGGTATTTATCTTTCTGTGTCTGACGTATTTCACGTAGCATAATGCCCTCAAGGCCATCTATGTTCTTGCAAATGGCAAGATTTCACTCTTTTTTATGACTGAATAATATTCCATTGTATATATACGCCACGTTTTCTTTATCCATTCATCCATCGATGGACACTTAGGTTGATTCCCTATCTTGGCTATTGTAAATAATGCTGCAATGAACATGGGGGTGCATATATCTTTTCAAGTTAATGTTTTCATTTTCTTCACATAAATACCCAGAAGTGGAATTGCTGGATGATATGAGAGTTCTAGTTTTAGTTTTTTGAGGAACCACCATACTGTTTTCCATAGTGGCTGCACCAATTTACATTCCCACCAACAGTGCACAAGGGTTTCCTTTTCTCTATGTCCCTGCCAACACTTATTAGCTCTTGTCTTCTGCATGACAGCCATTCTAACAGGTGTGAGGTGACATCTCATTGTGGTTTCGATTTGCATTTCCCTGATGACTTGTGATGTTGTTTCAAGCCATGGCTTGCAAGCCCCACTTACCCAAAACAAAAAATAATTCCACTGTTAGTGTTGCCATTTTTACTTGGAAACTGGTGATTTCCAATTATTTTAATGTTTTATCTCAGTGTTTTACAAACTGTGATCTTTTCATGCAGCTGTTGGCCTTCCGTATGTCTTCTTTAGAAAAATGTCTATTCAGATCCTCTGCCCATTTTTTAATAGGATTTTTTTTTTTTGCTATTTAGTTGTATGAGTTCTTTACATATTTTAGTTATTAACTCCTTATCAGATACATGATTGGCAAATATTTTCTCCCATTCGGTAGGTTGCCTTTTCATTTTGTTGATGATTTCCTTTGCTGTGCAGAAGCTTTTTAGTTTGATGTATCCTACTTATTTATTTTTGCTTTTGTTGCCTTTGCTTTTGAGTCAAATTAAAAAAATCATCTCCAAGACTGATGTCAAGGAGCTTACAACTTATGTTTTCTTCTAGCCGTTTTATGGTTTTAGGTCTTCTGTTGAAATCTTTAATCCATTTTGAGTTAATTTTTGTGCATGATGTAAGAGTTTGTGTATGGTCCAGTTTCATTCTTTTGCATGTGGCTGTCCAGTTTCCCCAACACCATTTATTAAATAAACTGTCCTTTCCCCACCGTATATCCTTGGCTCCTTTGTCTTCTTTTCTGATACATGTATTTAATGCTATAAATTTCCCTCTAAGCACTGCTTTTGCTACATCCCACAAATTTTGATAAGTTGTATTTTCATTTTTGTTTAGCTCGTAATATTTTTGAGGGGCTGGCCTGGTGGCACAGCAGTTAAGTTTTCACATTCCACTTTGGTGGCCTGGGGTTCGCAGGTTCGGATCCCGGGTGTGGACCTATGCACCACTTGTCAGGCCTTTCTGTGGCAGGCGTCCCACATATAAAATAGAGGAAGATGGGCATGGATGTTAGCTCAGGGCCAGTCTTCCTCAGCAAAAGGAGGAGGATTGGCAGCAGATGTTAGCTCAGGGCTAACCTTCCTAAAAAAAAAGAATTTTTTTTTTAATTACTCTTGAGACTCCTTTGTGTTGTTTAATCTCCAAGTATTTTGAGATTTTCCAGCTATGTTTCGGTTATTGATTTCTAATTTAATTCTATTATGGTTTAAGAGCAAACTTCGTGTGATTTCTACTCTTATTTCTATTCTATTTTTATTCTTTCAAATTTGTTCAGGTGTTTTATGGCCCAGAATGTGGTCTATCTTGGTGAATGTTCCATGTGAGCTTGAGCAGAATGTGTATTCTGCTGTTGTTAAGTATTCTATAAATGTCAATTAGATCTAGTTGATCATGGTTCTATTCAGTTCAACTACATGCTTGCTGATTTTCTGCCTGCTGGATCTGTCCATTACTGATTGAGAGGTGTTAATGTCTCCATCTGTAAGAGTAGATTCATCTATTTCTCCTTACAGTCCTACTAGTTTTCGCCTCACGTACTTTGTCACTCTGTTGTTCAGTGCACACAAATTAAGGATTTTGTCTTTCCTTGTAGAGGGACCTCTGTCATTTTGTAGTGTCCCTTGTTATCACTGATAATTTTCCCTGAAATCAATATAGCTTCTCCAGCTTTCCTGTAAAGTAAAGGTACATCCCTTTACTTTTTATCTATCTCTGTCTTTATGGTTAGGTGGGTTTCTTGTAGATAACATATCTACTCTGACAATTGATTTGAATTGGTCTTTTAAAGATTTTATTTTTTCCTTTTTCTCCCCAAAGCCCCCCGGTACATAGTTGTATATTCTTCCTTGTGGGTCCTTCTAGTTGTGGCATGTGGGACGCCGCCTCAGCGTGGTTTGATGAGCAGTGCCATGTCTGCGCCCAGGATTCGAACCAACAAAACACTGGGCCGCCTGCAGCGGAGCATGCGAACTTAACCACTCGCCATGGGGCCAGCCCCTGAATTGGTCTTTTAATTCGTATATTTAGGCCATTCACATTTGAAGTAAATATTGATAGTTGGATTAATATATACCATGTTTGTAACTTTTTTGTATTCATTCCACTTTTTCTTTGTTCTTTAACTTTTTTTTATCTCCCCCTCTTTTTCTGACTTCTCTGGTTTTAATTTTAGGATTCCATTTTCTCTTCTCTCAGTGTATCAATAACTTCTTTAAAAAAATTATTAGTGGTTTCTCTAGAGTGTGCAATCTATATTTACCACTAATCTAACTCTACTTTCAAACACCACCACACCACTTCCTGGGCGGTGCAGGTGCCTCCCAACAGTGTTCCCAGTTCCTCCCTCCCATCCCTCACAACACTGCTGCATTGGTGTCACTTAGTCATGTGCTAGAATCAACCAGTTCATTGTTGCTATTATTACTTTGAACAAAGAATTCATTGTTGCTCTAATGACCTTGAACAAAGTTCTCCATAAGATTGGGTAGATTTTACTTTACCTTCCTGTCTTCCTCCTCGGATGCTCTTCATCATGTAGATCTGAGTTTCCAACCTATTTCATTCTTCTTCTCTCTAAGAATTTAACATCTCTTGCAAGGCAGGTCTACTGGCCACAAATTCCTTCAGTTTCTGTTTGTGTGAGAGACACTTTCTTTCTCCTTTTTCGAATGGTAATTCTGCTGGATACAAAAGTCTAGGCTTCTTTCAACTCTACATATTTCACTCCACTCTCTTCCTGCTTGCATGGTTTCCGATGAGAAGTCTGATGGAATTTTCATCCTTGTTCCTCTCCAGATAAGGTGGGGTTTTTCCTTTGGCTTCTTTCAAGATTTTCTTTGTCTTTGGTTTCCCGCAGTTTGAATATGATATGCTTAGGTGTAGATTTTTTGGTATTTATCCTGTTTGATATTTTCTGAATTTCCTAGACTTGTGGTCTGGTGTCTATCACTAATTTTGGAAAACTGTCAGCCATTATGACTTCAAATATTTCATCTGCTTCTTTCTCTCTTTCTTCTCCTTCTGGTTTTCTCATTATGTGTATGTTACACCTTTTGTAAGTGTCTCCCAGTTCCTAGATATATTCTGTTCTAGTTTTTTCATTATTTTTTCACTTTGCATTTTATTTTTTTCCCCCAGCTTTATTGGGATATAATTGACATAT